GGAAAATACTTAAATTCATGTTAGTTGGGTATTCTGTTTCTTGTTGTCAGAAACATTCCTGTTACATCTCCCAACACAGGAGAGTTCATAACTATTACTTTTCCACCTTATTGATAACTTCACTAATATTTCATTATCAGCTCAGAGGAAAATAAACCATATTTTTGCATTCCAAAGCAAGTACCCCTCGAAGATGTGCTCATCTCTCCTAGCACTTATTTTAAAAGTTTTATTACTTTCATGAGAGAGTGCACACATGAGAGCAGAGAGGCACCTTTGACAGGATCTTGTCATGCCCCAGTTTCCTTCCTCCAGCCCTCCAGCTAGTCAGCCTCTTGGGAGCATGTGCCTGGCGTATTTCAGTTTGACTGAGGAGCAGAATCCCCAGGTCAGCCTTGTGGGTTACAGCACTGCAGATCAGGACGTTACCACCTGGACCACCAAGGGTTGGCCTCTCCCAGCACTTCTCATCATGTATTATTTCTTTATTCTTATACCTTCATTTTCAGAATCCTTTGCATTATTTCATATTTTACCTTCTGCCTGGATTGGGTTTCCCTTATTTCTTCTCCTGACAAATAATTAATCATCCTTAAAAATACAATTCAAAAGTCATTAATGTTCCCTGTGAAGCCTTTATTTTTCACCTCGAAGGAGTTAATCATTCCTTTCTAAGTGCTCCCGTAACATTCTGCATGTCTTAATTTGGAACCAATCACAAACACAGTAGTCTTATTTGTCTCCAGAACTACAGTAGATCTCTAACACAGAGCCTCATGTAGATGGTTCAAAAGAGACGCCTTAAAAAATATAGAGAGATATTCCTGTAGTAGTAATTCTCATGTTGTTCCTCCAAAGGCTAGCATTTGGAAATTTTTGACATACTTCTTTTATATCAAGTACCCAATAAATAATAAGCACATTAGTTAAATAAATGATAAACTATTACAGAAAAAAAATGAGTGCATTTTCATTACCTGTAAAACTAGCCAGTCTTTCTCGTTTATAAGATGGTTCTTCTAGGTCTTCTGCTATTGATTCAGTTGTTGATACACTTGATTTTGAAATAGAACTGCTTCCTAAAACTGACCTTTAGTAGTGAATAACAACGTTACTCATTATTTAGATGTTCTTGTAGGCAATTAGATATATAAATTAGAATATAATGTCAAGTGAAAAAATCAAATATAAAATAATCATAAAAGCAAAATAGGTAATTTTTTAAATAATGAGTTGATTTTTAGTATTCTTTAAATTAAAAAATCATTAAAAATATAGCTTAGAGATAAGTCATGTCAAATCTATGCCTAAACTCATTCAATAGTTTTCCAGTATATTAGGACAAACATCCAAGTACAACCTATCTACCCAGCCTCTTAGTCTTCATTATCACTACTCCCTTATCTTTTTCTTCTTTTTCTTTCTTTTTAGAGTTCTTTAAGCTCATGGAACTCTCTTACCTCAGGGCTTCTTTCATTTTTGCCTGGTGTCTGTCATTGTTCAGTTCCATTTTTTAAATGTGATTTATTTGATTTTGTAAGTGTACTGTCAAGATTTAATTTCTTTAAAAATCTATACACTCAAAGGAAATCAATGGAAGAATCCAAAAATAACTCCCTTAAGTATATAAACTTAACATGACTACACAGTATTTACACATACACACACATGTATATATATAAAATTTTCTGCTTATAGCTTCAACTGCCCACCAAAGGATAGGTAGGCTAACTTTATTGAAATATCCTGTTTTATGGAGCACTCCCATGTCTTTTGTAATGCCAATCTGGAGACAGGTTCTACAGCAGCATATCATTGTTCTGTATTATACAAGAGAAATCAAATGCAAGAAGAGCAGGGATTTCCATGGAAGAATAGAGGAAAAAAGGAAAGCTATGCCTTCTCATTAAATTGATCATCACAGAAGCCAAAGAAATCAAAAACTGAAGAAAAATGTCTAATTGGAATTTGTAATTAACCATATGTGAGGTTAGCTCCATCTTTTGGTTCTTCAGAAAATCCTAAGATCTACATATTGACCACAAATATTTTAGTGTGACTGTACAGGAACTCTTAAGACTTGAAAAGCTCTGCGTCTAATTAAAGCATGAGAAGGACACAGTGATGACATACTAAGGAGATGGACTGAGGTTGGGAGATGGGAACATACAATCTAAATGGAAAAACTGTGAGTTTTATAAAAAAAAAAAAGAACTATAGAATGGTATACTCTACCTTGTAAACTGTCCTAATATACTAGATTTTATAGTATTCTGATAAAGGCTATAGGAAGATATAAATTCTGATCCAAGTGATCCTTCTTGTGACGTCAATAGTTTATTTGGCTTTGGTGTACCAGCATATGGATCTGGACGGTAAAGAGGTCGGGGAGTAACATCAACTCCCTTCAGATCAAAAACCTGCAGAAAATTATTATTTAAAATGAAAATAAAAAACTAATAAAGATGAAGTTTCTAAACAACAGTCCTGGAAAATAGAAATAAGTAGCAGTAGTAGAAAAAAAATAAATGTAATAATACTAGGATAGGATAAACATGAACAATTTTGAATGATATAAAATTTCATGCTTAAAAGTTTCTTAACGGGACCAGTAGTTGGCTCTAGACTCCCACGTAGTTGACTACAGTTGGACCCCTGGGCCCAGTGACTTAAACTCACATCAGGCGCATGTGTGTACGTGCCCAAGATCCTGAGAGGAGAATGGAGGAGAAGGGATTGTGGCATGGCCATCCCCCTGGGACGCGATTTCTCGCTTTCTGCCTCTTTGTATCTCTCCGTCTTTCTGGTGAGTGCATGCGCCCTATAGCAAAAACCTCTCAAAAAAAAAGTTTCTTAACAAAGCAGTATTTTAAAAAATCTTATTTACATTTTACCTATACACAAATAATATACAGTAATTTCAGGAAGATACAAATATAATTTATCTTAAGTGTTAATACTTTGGTATATTTACTACTATATGTATAAACTTTTTTTTTTAGAGAGCTTTTTTACTGTAGTGTGCATGAGCTCACCAGATAGAGACAGAGACAGAAAGCGAGAAATCAACCCCCAGGGGCATGGCCACGCCGCAATCCCTTCTCCTCCATTCTCCTCTTGGGATCTTGGGCACGCACGCACACACGCCCGGCATGAGTTTTAAGCCACCGTGTCCAGGATGCGAACCGCAGTCAACTACATGGGAGTCCAGTGACATAGCCATTATGCTAACTGCTGGTCCCATATATGTATAAGCTTTTTAAAAAACTACTTTTTATTGAATATTTTATTAATAAATATTTTCCAAGTTACTATACATTTGTGATTTGGTTTTGGGTCATTTTTAATCCTTTCAATTATGAAATCTGACAGAGGCAAAAATTTAACAAACACATAATGGTACCGTTAAATGAAATAAAGCAGATATTCTTATAATTATCACTGAAGTAAAAATTAAAACACTGACACCACTTTTAGAAGCTACCCCATGACCTTTGCCCCTTCTGGATCACAGTCTTCCTTCTCCCTCCTGCCAGTAGTAATCATTAACTAGACATTGGTAATCATTTTCTTTCTTCTTTTTATAATTTTATTCAGTATGCACCCCTAAAAAATAGTTTATTTCAAACTTTTATTGAAGTGTACATAAACAATATAAATCAATAGCTTAATGAATTTTCACAAACTGAACACACACATACCTAGCATCCAGATTTAGAAATATTACCAGCATCCCAGAAATTCCTTTTGATAGCCACTCTCTTCCATGAAAGGTAATAATCTTGGCATGTATTAGTTTTGCCTGTTTCTGAACTTTATTTAGATGGAATCATACTATATGTACTCATCTTTTTAAAAAAAAAAAAAGAATTAATTTTATCAATATTATTGTTTTTAATTAGATCAGAAAGTGAGAAATCAAGCTGCCAGACCCAGGACACGAACCATGTGGGAGTCTAGTGCCTTAATGACCACACCATCTGCTGGCCCCTACTCATTATCTTTTTTCCTAATGTTCAATGTATGATTCATTCAAATTGTTGAGTTTAGTTGTAAAGTGAGTATAGTTCATTCTCATTGTACAATATTTCAGTATGTGACTATATAACAATTTTATTTAACTATTCTATTGTTTATGGACATGTTCAATGCTTTGGCTATTATGAATGATGCTATGAATATCATTGCAAATGTATTTTGCTAAACATACTTAATGAATTTATGTTGAGTATACATCAAAGAGTAGAGTTTCTGAGTTTTAGGTTATATATGTGTTTATCCTTAACAGGTACTGCTAAAGAGTTTTTGGAAGTGATTCCCATCAGCAGTACATCAAAGTTCTAGTTCTCCAGATTTCTGCCACCACTTGGTATTTCATGTTTGGCAATGAAACTTAGTTTTGCCTAATTCTGAGATTTATATAGAGTCACATTTATTTCCTCAAATTTGGCATTTATTGTTTCATGTCTTCATGTAAAGTAGTTCATTCACTTATTGATGATTGTCAAGTGGCCCACTAGTATAGCCTATTTTATTTGTCCATTTTATTAATGAATATTCCAGTTGTTTTCAGTTTTTGGCCACCATGAAAATCGCTTCAATAAACACTTGTATAAAAGGGTATAAGCATGCATTTGCATAGGGAAATTGATAGGTCAAACTGATTAGGTAACACTAACCTGTTTGCCAAATCAGCAGTAAAAAGTTTCAGGATTTTCAGCACTGTATGACAGCCGTTCGTGCTCCACATTCTCACTTGACAACTTAGCATGGTCAGATATACATATTAAAGTAAGCCTGAGGCAGATGCTACGGCCTTTTTTCCCCCTGTAGTGCTTGTGGGCCTGCAGGTCGGCTGCGGCCGCTGGTCACTGTTCCGCAGTATGGGATTTGTTAAAGTCGTCAAGAATAAGGCCTACTTTAAGAGATAACAAGTGAAATTTAGAAGACGACGAGAGGGTAAAACTGATTACAATGCTCGGAAACGCTTGGTGATCCAGGATAAAAATAAGTACAACACACGCAAATACAGGATGATAGTTCGTGTAACAGAGATATCATTTGGCAGATTGCTAATGCCCATATAGAAGGGGTATGATAGTCTGTGCAGTTTATGCACATGAACTACCAAATACGGTGTGAAGGTTGGCCTGACAAATGATGCTGCAGCATATTGTACTGGCCTGCTGCTGGCCTGCAGGCTTCTCAATAGGTTTGGCATGGATAAGATCTATGAAGATCAAGTGGAAGTGACCAGAGATGAGTACAATGTAGAAAGCATCGATGGTCAACCTGGTGCCTTCACCTGCTATTTGGATGCAGGCCTTGTCAGAAACACCACTGGCAATAAAGTTTTTGGGGCCCTGAAGGGAGCGGTGGATGGAGGATTTTCTATCCCTCATAGTACCAAACGATTCTCTGGTTATGATTCCGAAAGCAAGGAATTTAATGCAGAAGTCCATCAGAAGCACATCATGGGCCAGAACGTTGCAGACTACATGTGTTACCTAATGGAAGAAGACGAAGATGCCTACAAGAAACAGTTCTCTCAGTACATAAAGAACAGTGTAACTCCAGACATGACGGAGGAGATGTATAAGAAAGCTCACACTTCCATATGAGAAAACCCAGTCTATGAAAAGAAACCCAAGGAAGAAGTTAAAAAGAAGAGGTGGAATCATCCCAAGATGTCCGTTGCCCAGAAGAAAGATCGGGTAGCCCCGAAGGCAAGCTTCCTCAGAGCTCAGGAGCGGGCTGCTGAGAGCTAAACCAAACAATTTCCTATGACTTTATTCACAATAAAAGATAATAAATCACAAGAAAGCAAAAAAATAAAGTAAGCCTGATATGGGTGTATAAATATCTTTTTATTTTAATTTCCCTAAAGTTGAACTTATTTTCATATACTTATTCCATTTTTTTTTTTAAGGTTTCTGCTGTAGAGTGAGAGAAACCGCTAGAAACAGTGAGAGGGAAAATGAGAAATCACTCCCCAAGGGGAAATGGCCATATTGCAATCCCTTCTGCTCCATTCTCCTCTCAGCATTTTGGGCACACACACATTCACATGCCTGGTGTGATTCTCAAGCCACTGGGATTCAAACCAAGGTCAGCCATGTAGAAGTCCTGCACCTTAACCACTGCGCCACCCGCTAGCCCCACTTATTTTTATTTGATTTCCTTTTTAAGGAGAAATTTTCCCATTCAAGTCTCTTTCCTATTGGTAATTTTACACAGTTCATTAAGCATTTTCGATATGAATCCTTTCAGTTTTATGGGTTTACAAATCTCTTTTTTCATGTCTATGGCTTCGTTTTCTTTGTAGTATACTTAAGAAATATAGTTTTTTGATCTTAATGTAGTCAAATTATGTTTTTCTTTATGTTTTATGCTTAAGATGTCTCATCTGAGAAAACATTCCTGGCCAGCCACCGTGATGTAGCAGTAAGACAGCTCTACAATGCTTAAAACCAAATGGAAGGGTTCTGGGTTTTCATTCAAGGTCTCCTGTACATACTGTGTGGCTCTGATTTGGGCTGCCTGAGGCTATGGGTGGATCATGGAAAGACAATCCTGTGGGAATGCCCACCTTACCCCTCAATCAAAGAAATAGATTAAAAAAAAAATTTCCATTCCCTAAATCATAAAGGTATTTTTGTTGCCTTTTTTTTTTAATTAGCTAGAAGGCATGTGTGCTCACCAGAGAAAGACAGAGAGAGATAGCGAGAGAGTGGGAGAAAGTAAAAAAGCATCTCCCATAGAGCATGGCCATGTTGCAATCCCTTTTACTCACCTTCTCTTCCCCCTCAGAATTTTAGGCATGCATACACATGTTCCCGGTGTTTCTCAAGCCACTCGGTTTAGGACTCTAAATGTGTAGTTGGTCAAATCAGATCCAGTTGCCTCAACCACCATACCATGTCCTGGCCCTCTTCACTCCTTTTTATGGTTGAATATACTACTGCATGGACATATCACATTTGTTTAGCCATTTTTTCCACTGATGGACATTTGCTTTGTTTCCACCTTTTGACTATTACAAATAATACTGAAACATTTCTGTGCAAGTTTATATGTGGAAATAGTTTTATTTTGGGGGGGGGTTGTAATGTATATCTAGGAGTTAAACTGCTAACTATATATATCTGAGTGAAATTCCTAGGTCATATGGTAACTCTCAGTTTAACTTTTTTTTTTCTTTTTTTAGATTTTTGTTATAGGAAATGTGCACTTGCTGGAGAGACAGAAAGTGAGAAAACACTCTTGGGCGGGGTGGGGGGGCAGGAGGGGAATGGCCACACTGCAATCCCTTCTTCAATCTCTTCCCGGTAATTTAGGCATGCATGCACATGCACCCAGCATGAGTTTCGAGCTGCAGGATTCAGGACTTGAACTGAGGTTGGTCATGTGGCAGTCCTGC